CCATGGCTCTAGAGCAACGATTTCAACTTTTTCATTTCATGACACACATAACCTAATTCCTAAAATTATGCAGTACACCAAAATGTATATTTTTGGCAGATCTAACAAAAAAAATAGGTATAATTTTGATTCATTCACACCGGACAGCTATCGTTGTGCTGGCTGTTGTCTTTTTTTATTTGACAGCCTAAGGGAAACAGAAAAGAAGTCAGTGCCCCTGACTAAAGAGGTATTCCATGTTTTAAAAATTCTTGTGGCACACCAGTGTGCCTCCTGCAGCACACCAGCTGAAAATCATTGCTCTGGAGCACTAACTAAACTGGGGACAATTTTGCCTCTGGGGGACATTTGGCAGTGCCTGGAGATTTTTGGTTCCCACAACTGGAGGTAGAATGCTATTGACATCCTGTAGGTAAAGGGTAAACAACCCACACTGCATAGAAAAGACCCCCATAACAAGGAATTACCTGGCTTAATTTTTCAACTTGTGCCACATTGAGAAGCCCTACTCAAGTTTGTCCTAAGAAAACTAAAGTTTGGCCTAGGATACCTGGATTTCTTTTTATATTTAACTTTTTTTCATGTTAGTGATCTTTGTTGAGCTCTCAGGGCAGCAGTTCTTAAACACATTGGCAGTGCTTGGTTTCATTGTGTGAAAATAATAAATGCAGCATTGGTATGACACAGCGTCTTATATCCTTGTGTGTAATGATGAAAATGAAGGCTGAAGATTGCTGGAGTGGATTTGCAGAGAAACAGAACAGACAAATTTAGATTTATCTTTATGGTTTAAAGTAAAGGGAATTCTTTTAAAAAATACATTTTGTATTGATTTCATAAAGGAAGGGAGATGGAGAGAGAGAGATAGAAAGAAACATCAGTGATGGGAGAGAATCATTGATCGGCTGCCTCCCTTATGCCCCACACTGGGGATCGAGCTCGCAACCCGGGTATGTGCCCTGTCTGGGAATTGAACCGTGACCTTCTGGTTCCTTGGTCGACACTCAACCACTGAGCCACTCTGGCTGAGCTAAAGGGAATTCTTTATTTGAGGGGCTCCTTTCCTCATCTCGACTTGTTCAGAGTTTTGACAATGATTTATTTTAAGATAAAGCATGATTGCCGAAACCGGTTTGGCTCAGTGGATAGAGCGTCGGCCTGCGGACTGAAAGGTCCCAGGTTCGATTCCGGTCAAGGGCATGTACCTGGGTTGCGGGCACATCCCCGGTGGGGGATGTGCAGGAGGCAGCTGATCGATGTTTCTCTCTCATCGATGTTTCTAGCTCTCTATCTCTCTCCCTTCCTCTCTGTGAAAAATCAATAAAATATATAAAAAAAAATAATAAAATAAAATGTTTAAAAAAAAAAAAAAAGATAAAGCATGATATTCCAAGCTGGTAGGAGCAGCTTGTGTCCATGCCTTCCTGACCTCTAGAATAGTAGTTAAATTCTTTCAACAGAAGTACCCACTAGAAAAGTTGAGAAGTTCTAGTATAGTGGCAAAGGAACACCTTGCCCTTTGACATCTTGTCCAATCTCCAAGCCCTAGGCCAATTATTAAAAATATTAAACTTGTTTTACAGTTTCCTGCTTTTAAGGTAAACTAGTAAACTATACTAATAAAAGGTAATAAGCTAATTAGGGCGGGAACATCCTTCCAAGACATCCATCTCCAGACATCATCTGGACAAAGCACGGGCTCATGGAAGCCATGGGCTAACGACAGCCATGGGCTCACGACAGCCATGGGCTCAGGCAACTGTGAGCTCCGGTGGCTGCGAGGCCCGGGGCTCAGGCCTCGCAGCCGGCAGTGGCAGCAGCAGCAGGGCGATGGGGGTGGCGCCTTCCCCTGATCAGCCCAGTCGCCTCCTGCAGAGGGAGGCCAGACAGTGGT